TGGTCGCCACATACTACTCCTATCCCGTTGTCGGTGGGAAACTTCATGGTGAGGTGGTATGTTGATGACACCACTATGAGGGCGTGTAGTATTGGTTGGCCTAGAATAGCGTTGTATGGTGATGTCGTTGCAACACTAGAAAGTCGTGCTACAACCTTGTCCTTTTCGGTGCGGTTCTTGTCATCACGGATAGGTTGATCTAACCAAGAGCTCATGTCGCCCCGCCGTTGAAGCTAACTAAGGGCACATTGGCTAGGGCTAGATCTTCCCTCCATAGTCCCATTTGCTTGAAAGCTCCAAGGAACAGAAAGTCTGCTGAGTTACCRGAATCAATGAGTACCCTTTTTACCTCGTAATCATGGATCATGATCTTGATTACGAGGGCGTTATTATGAGGGTAACGGATCCCGCGTGTATCATCTTCGTTGAAGTAAATCACCTATTATACTCTATGTTGCTTTGGTGGGATCTTCCCTTCATGGTCCAGCTTGCGAACTAAAGTTCAACTAGCGGGGGTGGCAGAACTTACTGCATCTAACTCTATAGTGATCTTGTTAATTACACCACATGCTGGTGGGTTATCATATTGCTGCGTTTGTAGATTGGTGCCACGGCTGCAATGCATCAACTCTCAGAGACAATGAGTGCCTACTCCTAAGAGAGCCACATGGGGGCTCAACTTGTGGGGGCAACTCCACTATCTGTAGGTCATCAACCAGCATGGGAGCCTCGAAAGGCTTGACCAGCGAGGGCGACTCCACAGTCCATTGGCTACCAACTCCCATGGGAGCCGCGGAGGGCTCAACCCATAGAGGCTACCTCGTGATTAGGGCTGRTGAGGTTTGTTTGGGCTGCTCGTTCTGATTCTGCCCCCCTACAGGGATTCCTTCAATCTAGACATTGTTGTTATTGTCCTTGGTTGATGCCATTTGGCTTTTGAAGTTGAAGAAAGGTGAGAACTTAGCTTCATGTAGTGGTTGCCACAGACGACGCCAGTTGATGGCACGCGATTTGGTGCTCCCTGGTAGACAGCTTGGACGTCGGACTGAGTAGGTCGCCTGGTCAAGTTGTAAGAAAGTGATGATTAGAGTGTCCAAGTTGCTTTACCAGGGTGGGCACTTCGATGCTTAAGTTAGCAAAGAGCTCTAAGAGAGCTAAAAACGAGAGAACTAGAGAGCTAGTGAACTGTGAGAGCTAAATCACACGTGCATTTCTTAGAAAATGGGGATAGATTGGTGTGAGTTTCACACACCATGTCCAAGATCCCCGGGAAGATGCGACTCACTGGTCTGAAGTCCTTGGAGGTAGTTTTGCACGCAGACTAGGCTTCCATGCCTTATCCGGTTGCCTTCGGAATGATCGGTGCTGGAGCTGACTTTTGGAGGACTCAGGAGTGATAAGACGCATATAGAGGAGGTTGGCGAGCATGTCTCATAGGTTGCCACTTGGACCTCAGTCAGGTCGGTAAGTCCTTTCGGGGAGGTCACTCCTCACGCCGAGGTCCCTTGGATCGGTATTGATGAGGTACCACAGGTTGGCCTTGGACGAGGTGTTGCTAGCCGCTCTCTCGAGGTGCCCAAGCTCTGTATATGAGGTGCCGCTCTCTCGAGGTGCCCAAGCTCTGTATATGAGGTGCTCGGACTAGTTTTGGAGTGTGCCTCCTTGACTTAGTGAGATCCACAGCTGTTTGTGTGGCGCTAAGGTGTCATGTGGCAGTCCTGTCGTRTCATGTATCGTGATGCCATTGGAGGGGAAATCATCCTTCATCAATATAAAAGTTGAAAAGTAAATAACTTTTAGTTCTTTTTGTATTAAAAAAATTAAATCAGAGTTAGATTAAATCCAAATCTGATATGAGTTGTTAGGATTTGAATTCGAATCCAAATCTTGCATGCCCAAATTAACAAGTATTAGTAAGCATATATTTGTACTATTTCATAGATCATTAAAATTAGCCATTCAATTGAAAAAGGCTGTTTGTATGGTGAACCTATATTTAAATTCTATTTAAAATCAATGAAAATGAATAAAACCTAATAAAAGTTTAAAAATAAAAACAACTTTATCTAACAAAAAAAAATAATAAATAAAATTCATTTAAATTCAATTTAGAAGAAAAAAAATTAATAATTTATTTAATCATAATAAAAATTAATAAGCATTAAAAGAAAATTAATAAAAGTTGATATGATAAAACATAACCCAAAATTAATATTAAAGTTGAAATCAATTTTTCTTAATTGAAAATGTTATAAGATCCTTTAATTTGGGCTTTGTTTAACAAAGCTCGTGCACTGCCCGGGCCCACTAGTATAAAATAAAATTCATAAAAATTTTGTTATCTTAAAAGTAAATTAAGTTAAGGTATGTATGATTTGAATCAACCACCTGAAATGTATGTATGATTTGAATCAACTCACTCGTAGGATAAAAATTTTGCAAATCCTTAAATGGTATTATTTGGGTTAAAAAATGGTTTTTAGGTAATTGGATTAATTCGCTGAGTTCTAACGGGATACACTTAATGTCCATTCATTTACATTTTATGGTGTGGGTGGGAGATCGGGACTCATAGAAAAACCCCCTATAGATTTTTTATATTATTATATTAAATAATAAAATCTATGGGAGACATCCGTCCACCGGAATAAATTTTGGGTTAAAAAACTCTTGAAATTATTTAGTGACACGTAGATTGACATGATCAAATATACAGCCACGTGGTATATTAAGACTTTCAAAGTAAAGCTCCTTCTGAATTGGCCATATGTGAATGTACCTTAAATAGGAAATTGTACACGTCAACCAAAACTTGGTGTATGTGTTTTATAAATTAATATGTATTATAGGATATATTGCTGAAACCTTTTTGGTTGTTGCTGAAACATCCTCTGAAATTTAATAATTGTAATCACCTCCCCTAAGCTTTCAGATATAGTTGCAAGCATATCTCTTTTGTTAGAATCTTCTAAAAAGAGACGCGAAAATTCTTAAAATATCTATATAGTTATTTTGACCAAAATATCTATTATCAAGTTTTCTCTACATATGAATCCTCACCTTGATCCCTTTCAATCTTTTTTTTTTTTGAAATTGATTTATTTCCCAAATTAATTTTTTATATCAATTGCTCAAAGGTAAACCAAGGTTCAAAATATYGATACGCTAGTAGGGGCGTATCAGGCGAATCGATACTGTGTTTTATTGGTTTTTTTTATTTTTTTCACAATCGGTTTAGGACTCCTCCACCCCCTGAACCAGTTAGACCCCTAATACACCCATTGTAGGGGCATATTGGAGGGGTCCCGAAACGATACGTATTGGTCGATACGTGTCGATACTTTAAACCTTAGGTAAAACTCCAATTTTAAATTCTTTTTTTAAGTTTTCATAATATTTGCATTTTTTTTGTATATATACCAGTTTCAATAGTAACTATATAGATATTTTAAACATTTTCATATCTCTTTTTAAAGGTTTTTTACAAAAGGGATCTATTTTAAAATTGAGAGAAAATGATTACAATTACCAAACTTTAAGGGAGATGTTAGCAACGTCAAATACTTAGGGGAGATTTCAGAAATTTACCCTAATGGTCCGTTTGATTGTCGAGAAATAGTGGAATGAGAAAGAATGGACTGGGAAAGGATGAGATGAGAAAGGAAAATTTATTCTCATTTTTGGTATGCTGTGTTTGTTTGCTGAGACCTATTATCCTACAAAATTTGCTTCCAATGTTTGGTTGATGAAAAAAAAAATTGTAGGAAGAGGTAGACGCTAGAAGCCAGATATGGAGCTCAGACGTTAAAAKGAATGGAAATGACTGTCAACATGGAAGAATGATGCCTCTAACAATAGATTTACCATTTTTTTGTGAATGAAAATTGGTATGGAAGACCAGGGATGGTGGTAGACGTCGGATCTA